AAATAAAGAAGTTACACAAATGGTATTTGGAACAACGTGCTTCAAACGGCCTTGGGCCCAATTCGTATTCTATCTAGCATATATGTATATAAATACAGGTCAAGTGACTGTGGTTCTAAACACATCATACGGCCTCAGGCCCAATTCATTCGTGTCATACGGCCTCTGGCCGATTCATTCATTCGTGTCAAACTAGCCTCTGGCCCATTCATTCATTCGTGTCAAACTGGCCTTTGGCCCATTCATTCATTCATGTCAAACTGGCTTCCGGCCCATTCACTTATAGCAAACGGCCTTAGGCCCAACCATATGGCATAGCAAACATTTGTCCACAATTCAAATCGACAAACTCATAAAACTTATAGAGAAATAAGTAATTGGACAAATAACATGTTTCAAAATATATTTATTAAGATATTACTTACAGTGATTGGCTGGCTGATTTACCCTGGAGCTCGACCCTACATATTCCATGAACACAATGGGTCACAAACAAATCAATTCGTTCTTAATTCATATATTCCTCTTTAGGCTTCATTCTTATCCTTTTAATTCATTCATAATGCTCAATGCATGCCTAGGAGTACTTAAAAGTGAAAGAGAACGGAAAACGAGACACTGAACACATTTACAAAATTTCAAAAACAGGGGTCCCCGCTCGAGCATGGACTTGCCCGCTCGAGCGGACCCATTAGGTCTGCAAAAGTACTGGTTGCCTCATTTTTACGCTCGAGCGTGAACTCAGACCCTCGAGCTGAAGGTCATTCTACATAGCTCCCCGTGTGAGCGTGAACTTACCCGCTCGAGCGGACATCATGTCTGCAAAAATAGTGGGAGCCCGAATTTCCCGCTCGAGCGGCGCTTTCCCCGCTCGAGCGGACATGCCAAATTCTGGAAATTCCAGAACTGTTCTTGAGCTCAAATTCAATATTCAAATCAGCATATCTTGCATATTATGGTTCAAACTTCACATATACAGGTACTAACGTGGTACAAACACCAAATTACAACATTATGAAGCTCAATTCCATGAATTACTTGCATGCATGTTCCAAATTACACCAAACTTGTTCCCATCATAACAATTCCTTGTATTTCAAACTCATATTCTCATGAATTGTACATGCATGTGGATTATAACTCCCATTTCAACTTACATGGTGCAAATGGCGATCACAAACATGAACTTTAACCAAAATTCTACATGGATCACACACATTATGCTCAAACATGGAAATCCATAGCAATTTCTTTCATGCATGCACCTATTGACTTCAAATTTATCAAATACAACACAATCCTTGTTCTTGATCACCATTCAACTTTGAATTCACAAAATTACAATATTAAACTCATGAATTCATAATCAATTACTCACCTAGAAGCTCAATCTCCTCAATTTATGGTCAAATCTTGAGTTGATCCTCAAATTATTCAAGCTTCAAGATCAAACTTCAATTATTTCCCTCTCTCCCTCTCTAGCCAACCCACTCTCTCTCTTCTTAGAGTTAACATCAGCCAAATTGAATAAAAGAGAAGGATTGAACATATAATGGCCCTTATATAGCCCCTCTCAATCACATTATTTTAATATTAAATAATTGAGCACTTAATTAATCGTTCTGAATCTAATTATTTTGATCTGAATAAATTTTCAATTAAATTTCACCGTAGGCTCTAAAAATTACGCTAATCAGAATGCCGTAGTCAATTTTGATTTCTGTGGCTGATAGGGCCTTCAATTTAAATTCTAAAGCAGATAATCAAACAGATATTCCTACGGCGAACAGATAGAAATTCAAAACCACATATATTTACATAAGTGGCACTCAAAATCATATCAAACACATAATCACATTCACAATAAGGACCAATTAGCATAATACGGAACAGGGTTATCACAGCAAATCTCGAGTTATAAGCTTCCTCCAGTATCTTCTTCTTGAGTTCCAGGATGTCGGGTATGCAAATTCGATTCTGAAATTTCAGTATCCCATTGCTTATAATGAAATCAGGATCAGGCCTGTTTCCTTGTTCCTCGTACCTTTTCTTCAAAAGTTTATCTTCCCATTGGCGCGCTTTAATTTCTCCAATCAATGTAGGCTCCACGGTTACATTGGCGAGCAACCCATTGATCTTGCGGGAAATGAGAGTACATGCCAAACTTCTCGTCGTCTTTCGACTCAGTGCATCTGCCACCACGTTAGCTTTGCCCGGATGGTGATGGATCTCTACATCATAGTCTTTCATAAATTCTAACCACCGCCGTTGCCTCATATTCAGTTCCTTTTGTGTAAATAGATATTTTAGACTCTTGTGGTCAGTATAAATCTCGCAGGTTGTACCGTAGAGATAATGACGCCAGATTTTGAGAGCAAAGATCACCGCAGCCAATTCCAAATCGTGAGTCGGGTAGTTCTTCTCATGAGTCTTTAATTGTCGTGACGCATAAGCAATGTCTTTTTCGTCTTGCATGAGAACGCAACCCAACCCAGCCTATTGTATGAGGCATCACTATAGATTACAAACCCATCTGCTTCTGTAGGGAGTGCTAGTATAGGGGCTGACACAAGTTGACTTTTTAATTCTTGAAAGCAACGCTCCTGTTTATCAGTCCATTCAAAGGGTGTGTTCTTCTGAGTTAGCTGGGTTAAGGGCGATGCTATTTTTGAGAAATCTTGCACGAAGCGTCGATAATAGCCAGCTAGACCCAAGAAACTTCAGATTTCTGACACATTAGTAGGTCGTGGCCAGTCCACGATTGCTGTAACTTTTTGGGGGTCAACCGAGATGCCATCTTTGTTAATGACATGACCGAGAAAGTGTATACTAGTGATCCAAAATTCACATTTCTTTAACTTGGGATAAAGTTTGTGATCACGTAGTGTTTGTAGAATCGTTCGCAAGTGCTGCTCATGGGCCTCTGGTGACTTGGAGTATATGAGGATGTCGTCAATGAAGACGATGACAAACTCATCCAGATAGGGTTTGAACACTCTGTTCATGAGGTCCATGAAGGGTGCTGGGGCATTTGTGACACCAAAAGGCATAACGAGAAACTCATAGTGCCCGTAACGGGTTCTGAAGGCAGTCTTTTCAATGCTTTCCGTTTTAACTTTTAGTTGATGGTAGCCAAAACGTAAGTCAATTTTGGAAAATACTTATGCGCCTTGAAGTTGATCGAACAAGTCATCAATTCGCAGCAGAGGATATCGATTCTTCATGGTAACCTTGTTCAGCTCCCGGTAATCGATGCATAATCTCATTGTGCCATCCTTTTTCTACACGAACAATACTGGAGCTGCCCAGGGTAAGGTACTAGGTCAAATAAAACCTTTGTCCAGGAGTTCTTGGAGTTGAGTCTTCAACTCTTTTAATTCTGTCATCGACATGCGATAAGGAGCTTTTGATGTAGGTTGTGTGCCAGGTTAGGTTTCAATGGTGAATTCGATCTCCCGATCAACTGGAATACCGGGTATATCTTCAAGAAAAACATTTGGAAATTCTCGAACTACAGGGATTGCATCAACGGTGTCACGACCCAAACCCGGTACCCAAAGGCTTGGCGTCGTAACAAGATAAGAATAAAATAATTTAAATAATTTTGTAGTCGTAGCGCAAGTGAATAAATTAAATAAAATAATTGGGTACCAAATGCTTATTTAAAAGGGAATAAAACATAGTCATTTGAACTTTATTATATTACAAGAGTTCAAAAAAAAAAAAACAGATAGAAATAAAAAAAGATTTAAAAAAAAAAAACACAGTGATTTATTTTCCATCTTGATCCCGCTAAACCTCGTCACCTGAAAGGGGTAACAGCTATAAGAAAATAGCAGAGTGAGAAATATTATACTGTGAGTGTAGGGGCACAAAATAGTCATGGATAATTATTTAAACTAAAACATTAACATAATTTGTGTTGAATACACAAATTAATTAAGTGGCAAAAACTGAAATAAATCACTATAACCACGGTACATAACAGAACAGAACATGGGTCACTAAGTGACAATCACTACAGGGGTCAATGGATCCATGACAAACACGGGACCACAAAGTGGTCAAACAGGGCCAATGGTTATTTAAGTCTCCCAAGGCATGGGACTCCCGCGGTGGTACTTACAGAAAATAATTGTTTACAAAATCATTGCCAAATAATCTCTAAAATTTAAACAAGTACATCCATGGGTTTTAATTTAAGCAAATAGAGTTCAGAAAATAATCCACGTAATTGAAACATTAACCTAACCATAAAACATAATTTATATCAAATAAATTGTGATAACTCAAAACATTTGTAAAATATATTATGGTAACTTAAGACATGTAAAAAATATATTATACTAACTCAAGGTATAATAAAACTCACCTTAAAATTAACCCTTAGCCTTTTCTACTGCAAACTCCCAACTATTATCAATCTGATCGGTCTACTTCCTTTAGAACGTCACGTTATAAACTTTAGCTCTTTGCTTTGCTTACACTAATGCTTACACTGACTTCACTATTTATAGGCCCCCAATTCTTGCATGTCACTCAAGGTTGCAATGCCATCTACTGACACATCCTTCCCCATGTTTCCATTGTGGCTGGGTTATCACTCCTTTGGTGATTCATAATGATCCCTAAAATAACGTATAATTATAAGTTAGGTTCACGTCTAAAAACCTCACTACCAAACTATAAAACCTCACTTACCACTTACTAAAATATTTAACGTATGGTGTCTCACAATTTATTTCTTTAACAATTTAATTGATAAATTCTCAATTTCCTAAATTATGCATTTATTTATTTTTATTTTTATTTATTCATTGATTGATTTATTATTATTATTATTATTTTTTGAGTTCTATTTATTGCAAATTTTAAATCTAACAAAAGAAAATTCGGGTGTCACATTTCTCTTCTCCTTAAAAGAAGTTTGTCCCCAAACTTGACGTACCTTGGTTTTCGAAGAGGTGTGGGTATTTGGCCTGCATTTGGCTTTCAGTTTCTCACGTTGCTTCTTCGACACGATGGTTTCTCCATAAGACTTTTACGAGAGGTATAGTCTTATTTCGGAGGACCTGGTCACGGTGATCAAGAATCTGTACAGGTTGCTCCTCATAAGAGAGGTCTTCTTGAATTTCTAGGTTCTCATGATCAATAACATGCTCTGGATCTCGAAGATATCGACGAAGCATCGAAACGTGAAACACATTATGCACATTGGACAGTTCGGGTGGAAAAGTAAGGCGATATACCACAGAACCAATTCTTTCAAGTATCTCGAATGGGCCGATGTAACGTGGGTTTAACTTTCCTCGTTTTCCAAATCGGATAACTCCTCTCGTTCGTGAGATCTTTAGGAACACATGATCGCCCACTTGAAATTCTAAGTCTCGTCTCCGTGTATCTGCATAGCTTTTCTGGCGACTCTGAGCAGTGTGAATTCGTTGCTGGATGAGTTGGATTTTATCGCTTGTTATTTGCACGATCTCAGGGCCTAATAATTTTCCGTCTCCGACTTTCATCCAACACAGAGGTGATCGACATCTCCTTCCATACAGTGCCTCGTACGGTGCCATTCCAATACTTGCATGGTAGCTATTATTATACGCGAACTCCACCAGCGGTAGATGATCATCCCAGTTACCTTTGAGGTCTAACACACACAAACGTAACATATCTTCCAAAGTCTGGATCGTCCTTTCAGATTGTCCATCAGTTTGAGGGTGATAAGCCGTGCTAAACTTCAGAGTGGTTCCCAAAGCTTCTTGCAATTTGTTCCAGAAATGAGACACGAAGCCGGGGTCTCTATCGGATACGATTGAAACTGGGGTGCCATGTAAGTGAATGATTTCCTTAATGTATAGAGTGGCGAACTTAGAAAGAGAGTACATGATTCTGATTGGTAGAAAATGCGCCGACTTCGTCAATCGATCCACGATAACGTATATTGCATCATTCTTAGAGACTAATTGTGGTAGCCCGACCACGAAGTCCATAGTAATGTGTTCCCACTTCCATTCAGGAATAGGGAGTGGTTACAACATTCCTGCAGATCTCTGATGTTCTGCTTTAACTTGTTGACAACGCAGGCATTTGGAGACATGGCTTGCTATGTCTTTCTTCATTCCTGTCCACCAGAAGTGTTCCTTCAGATCATGATACATCTTCGTATTGCCAGGGTGGATTGCAAACCTCGAGCTATGAGCTTCTGCCAAGATCCTTTTCTTGAGTTCTGGAAGGTCGGGTATGCAAATCGATTCTGAAATTTTAGCATTCCATTCCTTATCGTGAAATCAGGATCGGGCGTGCTTCTTTGTTCCTCGTACTTTTTCTTCAAAAGTTTATCTTCACATTGGCGGGTTCTAATTTCTTCAATCAACTCGGGTTCCACGATTATGTTGGCAAGTAGTCCATGGATCTTGCGGGGAATAAGGGTACATGCCAAACTTTTGGTCATTTTTTGACTTAATGCGTCTGCTACTACGTTAGCTTTGCTGGGATGGTGATGGATCTCTATATCATAGTCCTTCATAAATTCTAGCCATCGTCATTGCCTCATATTCAATTCCTTCTGCGTAAACAGATATTTGAGACTCTTGTGATCAGTGTAAATCTCACAGGCTGCACCGTAGAGATAATGACGCCAGATCTTGAGAGCAAAGATCACCGCAACCAACTCTAGATCATGAGTTAGGTAGTTTCTTTCGTGAGTCTTTAGTTGGCGGGAGACATAAGCAATGACCTTCCCATTTTGCATAAGAACGCAACCCAAACCATTGTAAGAGGCATCGCTATAAATTACAAACCCTTCTGCTTTCGCGGGGAGCGCTAGTATTGGAGCCGTCACGAGTCTGTCCTTCAATTCTTGGAAACAACGTTCCCTGCTTGTCTGTCCATTCAAAGGGCCTGTTCTTCTGAGTTAGTTGGGTCAAGAGTGAAGCTATCTTCTAGAAATCTTGCACAAAGCGTCGGTAATAGTTGGCTAGGCTCAAAAAGCTTCGAATCTCAGACGCGTTAGTAGGTCGTGGCCAATCCACGATTGCTGCAACCTTTTGGGGATCAACTGAGATGCCATCTTTGTTAATGACGTGACCGAGAAAGTGTACACTAGTGATCCAAAATTCGCATTTCTTCAACTTGGCATAAAGCCTGTGATCACGCAGTGTCTGTAGAACTCTTCGCAGGTGGTGCTCATGATCTTCTGGCGATTTGGAGTATATAAGAATGTCGTCAATGAAGACAATGACGAACTCGTCAAGATAAGGTTTGAACACTTAATTCATGAGGTCCATGAAAGCTGCTAGAGCATTTGTGACGCCAAATGGCATGATGAGAAACTCATAGTGCCCGTAACGAGTTCTGAAGGCAATCTTTTCGATACTTTCTGTTTTGACTTTTAGTTGATGGTAACCAGAATGCAAGTCAATTTTTGAGAATACTTGGGCGTCTTGCAGTTGATCGAACAAGTCATCAATTCGTGGTAGAGGGTACCGGTTCTTGATGGTGACTTTGTTCAGCTCCCGATAATCGATGCATAGCCTCATTGTACCATCCTTTTTCTTTACGAACAGTACCACTTTTGTCACGACCCAAACTCGGTACCCAAAGGCTTGGCGTCGTAACAAGATAAAAATAAAATAATTCAAATAATTTTGTAGTCGCAGCGCAAACGGATAAATTAAATAAAATAATTGGGTACCAAATGCTTATTTAAAAGGGAATAAAACATAGTTATTTGAACTTTATTATATTACAAGAGTTCAAAACAAAATAGATAGAAATAAAAAAAGATTTTAAAAAAAACAACACAGCGATTCATTTTCCATCTTGATCCCGCTAAACCTCGTCACCTGAAAGGGGTAACAGCTATAAGCACATAGCAGAATGAGAAATATTATACTGTGAGTGTAGGGGCACAAAATAGCCATGGATAATTATTTAAACTAAAACATTAACATAATTTGAGTTGAATACACAAATTAATTACGTGGCAAAAACTGAAATAAATCACTATAACCACGGTACATAACAGAATAGAACAGGGGTCACTAAGTGACAATCACTACAGGGGTTAATGGATCCATGACAAACACGGGACCACAAAGTGGTCAAACAGGGGCCAATGGTTATTTAAGTCTCCCAAGGCATGGGACTCCCGCGGTGGTACTTACAAAAAATAATTGTTTACAAAATCATTGTCAAATAATCTCTAAAATTTAAACAAGCATATCCATGGGTTTTAATATAAGCAAATAGAGTTCAGAAAATAATCTACGTAATTGAAACATTAACCTAACCATAAAACATAATTTATATCAAATAAATTGTGATAACTCAAAACATTCGTAAAATATATTATGATAAGTTAAGACATGTAAAAAACATATTATACTAACTCAAGGTATAATAAAACTCACCTTAAAATTGATCCTTAGCCTTTTCTACTACAAACTCCCAACTATTATCAATCTGATCGGTCTACTTCCTTTAGAACTTCACGTTATAAACTTTAGCTCTTTGCTTTGCTTACACTAATGCTTACACTGACTTCACTATTTATAGGCCCCCAATTCTTGCATGTCACTCAAGGTTGCAATGCCATCTACTGACACGTCCTTCCCCACGTTTCCATTGTGGGTGATGCCACCTGTACGTACTCATGCATTCACCAAGGACTAATGGCAGCCATGTTGTTTCTACTTCCTGCCACGTTATTAGTTTGGCTTTATAAAATTCTTAAGGGTTATCACTCCTTTGGTGATTCATAATGATCCCTAAAATTACGTATAATTATAAGTTAGGTTCATGTCTAAAAACCTCACTACCAAATTATAAAACCTCACTTACCACTTACTAAAATATTTAACGTGTGGTGTCTTACAATTTGTTTCTTTAACAATTTAATTGATAAATTCCTAATTTCCTAAATTATGCATTTATTTATTTTTTATATATATATTGATTTATTTTTTTTTTTATTATTATTATTATTATTATTATTTTGAGTTCTATTTATTGCAAATTTTAAATCTAACAAAAGAAAATTCGGTGTCACAAACGGTGGGGGCCTCTTTCTGTGTATCAATCACATAACAAATATAACTACCACAACCCTTTCTTAGAAGTCGTTGGGCCGCCATGGAGGATATAATACAGGGAGGGTTAGAAACTTCAGCCCCCATCAAAGACAAGTTCGGGTTGGTTTGGTAACTTGAGGGAGACGTTTTTGGCTTTACAATCGATAAAGGCGTGGTTGGCAGCCAGCCAATCCATACCTATGTGCCAATCCATACCTATGATCACATCAAAGTTCCCAATGCGGAGGGGAATCAAGTCTACGTTTAAGGTTTTGCCTTTTACGAATATAGCACAGGATTTGTACACATCTGTACTACGAGCAAACTTACCAGAAGGAAAAGATACAGACAATATATATCCCAATGGTTCAGGTGTTGATGCCAATTTGGTAGCAAAGTGTGGTGCGATAAAAGAATGAGTTGACCCAGAGTCAATGAGGACATGAGCTAAATGACCACAGACAAAAAGTGTACCTGACACAACATCTTTGGTAATTTCCGGTTTTCCAGGTACTAAGGCGAAATCCCGACCTTGGTGGTTTTGGTCCTTTTTTTTTCCTCCAGGTCCCGCGGGTCTCCTGACTGGGCCAGAGGGGCTGGCTATAGGATTAACCAGCTTTGGACAATCCCTTAGCAAGTGGCTGACCTGTCCGCATCTAAAACATGCTCCCGTGTCTCGATGGCATTGTCCCCAATAAACCTTCCCACAAGTGGGGCAATTTGGAATAGTGCCACCTCAGGGATTGGTAGGACCTTGGTGGCCTGAGCTGGTTGTGCCCATGTTCACCTTTTTATGAGGTGCAACACTGAGTCTTCTGTTATCTCTTTTCCAGAATCGTTTCTTGTAGCTTGGTTCTCCGGAACACGAGGCTTTAATTCTCTTTTCTGCTATGTATGCCCGGTCCACCACTTCTGCATAGGTTAGCAATTTCAAGACCTCAAGCCTGTCTTTAATTCCAGCATCTAATCCTGCTTCAAATTTTCTTACTTTTCGAGTTTCGGTGGGGATGACATATGTTGCAAACCGAGCGAGTTGTGTGAACTTGCTCTCATATTCGGCCACCGTCATGGTTCCTTGCTTTAGATGTATGAATTCAGATGCTTTCTGTTCCCGCAATGAATCTGAAAAGTATTTTTCGTAGAATACTTCCAAGAATCTTGCCCAAGTCGTAATTTGTTCTTTGGCCAGAGTGAGAAGCCACCATTCCTGGGCATTGTCTTTGAAGTGAAAGTGGCGAAAGTTACCTTTTGCCTCTCGGTGCAGGGTAGGGCACGAAAAATCTTTTCCATGTCTTTAACCCAAGTGTCTGCTACTATTGGGTCTGGGCCGCCGGTAAATGCGGTGAGTTTAAGATCCTGGAACTGTTTTATGGTAGCCGGCTCTTCTCGCCGTTCCGGCATCCCATTGTTGACGTTAGTTTGCAAATATTGCAAAAAGCTAGTAA